GAACTTGTAAAAAAAAAGAAAAAATCATAAAAGACTATGCTGTACTGAAATAGGGAATTCCAATAAGGAGTGCTTTAGGAATTCAAAGAAAGGAGGTATGAACTTAGGCTTGAATGGACAAAGATGGCTTTCCAGAGTAGATGCCGCTTGATAAGGTCATCAAAGAAGGAAAGGAAAGGGGAAGCACTTTCCAGGCCACAGTGAATGAGAACTTTAAGAAAAGCCACACATATCACTATTGTCTGTCTCTCTGTCTCTGTGATTCTCTCTAGTGTCTAACACAGGCACTGACAAGCCCTCCGTTCGTAGAATGGACAAACCAATTCAGAGGTTTCTCTTGATCTCTCATGGTCCCCAGGGAGACTGGATGCCTTGCCTTATTGTAAGAGGAATTTCTGGGTCAGGGAACCATCGGACTCTTGTAGTAATAATGTTCCCTTTGTTCCTGAGCTGAAAAAAAAGTGGATTAAAGTTTGCGGATTAGAGCCCCAAAGCTAGAGTTGCTGGGACCTCCAGCCTCTTGGGAGGGTGAGGAGTTGGACTTGTGGGTTACAGATGTGCCCCAGCTGGACTCGGGGCCCACCCTTCTCTCTCCCCATGTTTATTGCTGCTCAGCTCTGCCCAGGAAGAGCTGCTGAATCAGCTTTCTCTGGCTGGGGCCAGCTCTTGGAGCCAAGCTGCCCTGTATCTCTCACACTATCCACCCCTTAGATAAACAGCCTGGCGTCCACCACACACTGAAAAGTTCTGATGTGGTTGCAAAGGGCTCCATTAGCCAAACGCCTCTCATTCTAAGAAGGACCCTGGCAAAGGGCCCTGTGTTTCTTCCAGCCTGAGTCAGGCCTTTGCTGGAGTGACAGGAGAATCCATTTCCTGCCTGGAAAGGTGGCCGCAGCAGAAGTGTCTGCTGGGCGGAGCCTTCCTTCCTCCTTGCCCACGCACCCAGCCTTCCTCCTCGCGGAAGGCCGGGGCAGGCCTCTTCGTGAGACAGCCCTCCTCAGCCTTTCGTGTGAGTGTTTTACCTGTGGAAGCCAGTCCTGCAGTTTGGGCAGGTGAATGAACCACTTTGCAGCCTGCCTAGCCGCCCCCGCAGGTGGGGGTGACATTTGGATTGTATATCAAACATGGCCCCAGATGTTCATTCCGCTGCCCACTGCTCTGCCATAGATGCTGAGCGGTGCCGCTCTGCGAGATCCCCACACTGAGTGAACTCAGCTGGGCTGCCCTGATTCGGCTTGCTCCAGAGTCTGAACAAGGGCATTTGCTTTCTTTGAAAGGTGGCCTGTGGGCAGAGAAAATGTCACCGGCAGCTGGTGAGTGGTGCTTCCTTTTCCAGTGGCTGTGGCTGGTGGGCCTGGGGGATGATGGGGACAGAAGGGGCAGACACCAAGGCTCTTCTGGCTCAGCACTGGTGGTGGGCTTAGGTGACACGTGTGGCTGGGCTCAGCACCTGAGGGATAGGGATGGAGGGGAGCAGGCCAGCTGGGCGCTCATGTCTCTGGGCAGGACCCATTGACCCAGTAATCTTAGTGGATGGCTTATCTTGGCCTCGTGAGGGTCCAGATTAAGGCAGAGGTGGGGGAAGATGCAAATCTGTTACAGAAGGAGGTGGGAGAGAGGCCTGCTGCAAGGCATCCTCCAAGAGGCATTTTGAGGGAAAGCTCAAATCTGTGGGGCGATCAGATGATTCCTGCCCTCCAGAAGGTACACAAACCCATTGAGGGAATTCAGGCTGCTGTTTGGCAGGGAAGGCACAGGGAGTGTGACTGTCACTCTGCCAAGATGGAGCTGGCTTCTCCTCCTACAGGAAGCCTTCCCTGACCTCCTACTTTGGCTCCCACAAAACCCTGTTCATACATCATCAGCAGTCCCCTTCACTCCAGAACTTGCTTACCTGTCTCTAGCACCAGAGTAAAGGTTCACAGACTCCTGGGTGGGGCTCAGGAAACTGCAGTTTTAACAAACACCCATCCCCAGGTGATTCAGGTATGGGCAGTCTTCAAGCTATATTTTGATAATTGTCTTGCTCTAGAGCAGCCTAGAAATATAATATGACCCACATATGTAATTTTTAATTTTCTAGTAGCCACTTAAAAATGTAACACAGGTGAAATCATTTCTAAAGTATTTTTATTTAACCTGATGTATCCAAAATATTATCATTTCAGCATGCAGTCAACACAAAAATTAATGAGATAGTTGTTCACATTCCTTTTTTTTTTGTACTAAGTCTTGAAACCTGGTGCATAGTTTACACTCATCACATCTGAATTTGAATTTGGGTGGGTCACATTTCAAGGGCTCACCAGCCACATGTGGCTCGTGACTGCCATAGAGGACAGCACAGCTCCAGAGCTTTACTGCTGAGTGTGGTCCATGGACCAGCAATTTCAGCACCACCTGGGAGTTTTGTAGAAATGCAAGATCTCGTGCCGCTGCCAGGACCGACTGAAGCGAACCTGACTTTTAACACGTCGGCAGGTGTGTGGCTGGGCCTGCCTTTCTCCTCAGAAACCTCCGTACTCTTCCTCAGAAATTCTGTGGAGCCGCTGTTCAGAGGTGCCAGGCCTTGCCTACCCATCGTAGATTATCCGTTTATTCTGTCTTCTTTCAAAACAGATTTAAGGCGCCTATAAATATGCATAGATTTCAACCAAGTGAAACAAAAGTAGAAAAACAATGAAAGAAGTGTGCATGGATGCATGGGCAAGGATGCTCACTGTAGTGTTATATAATAGTAGTAAAAAGTCAGAAGCAACCTAAACATCCAACAGTAGGGGAGTAGGTAAATAAACTATGGCCCATCGAAACATTGACCTCTGTGTCACAATCAAGGATGCTGGGGTGGAAGTGCTACTCACTGACATGGGAAAATTTTCATTATAGAGTGTAAAAGTATTGATGAGCTCATTTTATTGGCATTCGTGGAACAATGTCTGGAAAGAATATATATATATCCCAAAATGTTAATGTTGCTTTTTCAGGGGGAAAGATTATGAGTGATTCTTGCTCCCTTTTTGACCACCCACTTCTGCAATTTCTAGGTTTTTCTTCCCTCAGTGAACATGAATTCTTACGTAATACAGAAATAAAATTTACAAAATAGGATATGGGTTAGGGAAGGAGAAAATAGGAGCCCTACTCTGTGTAGAATTTATTTGAAAATGTCTCAATTAAAAAAAAATTCTAAGTACAAGTCTATCGCGTTATGACCCAGGGGCCCGTAGTTACACGTAGCAGGCAATTATTAAATGTTTGAGAGATGGACTTACAACATTATTTGAAAACTCATGAGCCAGCTTTTGTTAAATTTCAGTCTGCGTTCAGGGAAGTGAAAGTTAATAATGGTGCAGTCTCTGTTTTGTTTTGAATGGAATCTGACAATGACCCACCCTTCACGTGTGGGCTCTAAATAGCCTCTGTATGTTGGATAATGATTGTGCAAGAGAGAATCCTAAAGTCATGTGTTAGAGCTGGATGGGTGGGTGGGTAGACGGGAATATGCACACTTGCACGCACACACAAAATCTAGTGCAGGACCACTCTTCACCACCTCCAATGTTAGCACTGTGGTCCAAGCCACCATCAATAGGCTCCTCACTGGTCTGCCTGCTACCGCTCTGTGGCCCATTCACTACCCTGTAGCTAGAGCCATCCTCTCCATGATCTGGCCCGTCCAGCCTCTTGGATCTTGTTGTCCATGCCTGAGCCCCTGGCGCGCTCCACTCCAGCCTCTCTGGCCCTTGCAGGCTCTTGGCACTTCCTGTTTCCTCTATCTAGACACACTCTGCACTTCCTATTCTCCTTCCAGCATGGCTCGCTTCCTTACCTATTGCGGGTCTCTGCTGAATTGCCATCTGACTCGTAAGGCCTTACTCACCACTATGTAAAATAACAACCCTGTTCTGTTCCAACACCTTATCCTACTTCGATTGTCTACATAGCACTTATCCCCAACCCCAACGTAGTACATTTTCATTTGTGTACTGTTTGTCTCCCTCCACTAGACTAGAAACTCCCTGAGGGCAAGGGCTTTGTCTCTTTATTGCCATTTTTCTTAGTGCTCAGTGCTCGAAGTAGGTGCTCAATAAATATTTGAAGGAAGGAATGGACTTCAGATAGCATGTGACTGATCTTCCTCATTTCACCAATGAGGCGCCTGAGGGTGAACTGAGAGAGCTTCCGGGCCTTGCCCGGGGTCACACAGCTGGGTCTGCAGGACTACGTCTGCCCTCTCCACTCAGCTCCAGCTCCGCCTGTGCCTGTGGAAGGGAGATTAACCATATGCAGAGGGGCCGTGGCCTCAGCCATCCTGTCTCCTGTGTATTTTTCCAGTTTATACAGAATTTTAGCCCAGAATAGCAGAAGAGAAAAAAAAATAGTTGCTTCTCCTGAACCCTGGAAACTCTTCCAGTGGGTCTGTCCCTGGAAAAACAGCAGCGATCTCCAGGGTGGGAAGGTAGGAAATGGAGGAGGGGGTCTTCCAGCGTGGGGACAAGCGCCTGGATTTGGTTTTGCAATTAAAATAACATCAGGGTTTGTTTCTGCAGAGCAGTTCTGAAAGGTGGGTGGTCTGTCTGAAGCATCAGGTGGGACTTCCCAGCATCCTGGCCCAGGAGGGTTTGGAATGGCAGGTGGCTTAAGGGCTCAACCAGCAGATGACATGAAAGAATCTGGGCCCAGAGAAGCCTCCGGAAACCACTCCTGTCACCTGGCCTGAAAGCCTGTTGGTCCCTACCCTGACTTCCTTTGGGAAGTGGGGCATCCCCGGATACCTCCTCCTGTGCCCCCACTTCTCCTTGAGATGGCTCAGACACCCCCTTTGGCCTCTTCCCTCTCACGCCCCGTGTGGTTTGTTAATCATCTGTGAAATGAGGGATTTGAGGCGTCACTCATCCGTTTGAGAAGAGTGGGGCCCTGGAGCAGTGGAGCAGAGTGGGGAAGGGACGCCAAGGGCTGTTCCAATCTTCTGAATCATGTCCCTCTGTCTGGCTTCTCAGATGCAGCTTTTGGATAAGTTTCCCATCGAAGGTGGCCAGAAGGACCCCAAGCAGAGAATCATCCCCTTCCTCCCAGGTAAGCTTTGGATGGCCCTGCTGATGGGATGGGGGCAACCTGGGGAGGGGCATTCCTTAGGCCAAAGAAAGGCTGGCTGCTAAGCCAGAAACTCTGGGTAGGACAGGCCTAGGAATCTGCATATTAATTTCCCCAGGGGATTGGAAGTCCCTGATTTTGAAGGCCACTGTCCTCACAGGGGCCTGTCCCACCATTTCATGGCCATCTGCTGGCCCCCGGCCGTGTAACTTCTGAGGAGTTTCTCAAGCTCTTGGACTTTGGGTCCTTCTTACAAAAAGCAGACATCAAGTTCTCCTATGAGAGGATGACAAATTGCAGGCTGACCTCTTTTCACTGGCTCCTATTGTAACCACTGAGAACCTTAAATTGAGGACACTTCCTTGTGTGACCTCGTCGCCGGCCTCCCAGTACCAGTGTCCAGCCGAGGCTCTGAGAGTTTACTTACATAACACAGCCTGCGCGTTGGCAGAGCTAGAATTTGAACCCGGGCCTGTCTGGCTGTAAAGGCCATTAACTACTGCACCATTTTGAAGCATGTTTAATGCATTTGATTACGTTGTATGATTTAGAAGAAAACCTCTCAGGTATGTCACAACCCTCAGTTACTGCTAGGTCTGGAGTTGCGCGGGCCAGCCTCCAGGACGACAGCTATCAGTGGGACCTTTGCCAATCCTCTGAGTCTTATGCTAAAGTGGGAGATAATTAATTTAGCTACACGGAAGAGCTTCTAAATCCCGCAGTTTGGGCAAGACCAGAACCAGTCAGTGAGGGGGTAGGGAATCCCTCATCCCCGGGCCCCTTCCATGGTCGAGGAGTTAATGCTGGGCCCTATTGTGCCCTGCCTGGCTTTACCCTGAGTCTCGAGGGAATTCGGGATGTCCAACATCCAGGTTTGTAATGACCTTAGATGTTGTTCCAATCCAGTCCAGATGCTCTGTCCACCAGGGGCCTGGGAACCCAGCTGGGATGCTGTGGATACAAGTGTCCCAGAGCCGACATAAAGCCAGTGGGGTGCCCGGAGGCTGTGGTGGACCTGGCCTTGGGGCATGAAGGCTGCCTGCTTGCTCAGGAAGAACAGGCCAGCACTCCAGGGAAAAAGCACCTCATTGCCATTCAATCTGTGGGTGTTTAGGAGGCTCTCAGCTTGTGCCAGGCCCAGGATCAGTGCCCAGGGCTGGTGGCTGGGGGCTTGGGGCTGGGGTAACCAGGTGAGTCAGGGGAGATCTGGACTTGTTTCTGTCATCTAAGGAGTCCTCAAACTAGTGAGAGAGACAAGACCTATCAAAGAACCAGTTAAGGCAGGATGTGACTCTCTGCCACTGTGAAATTCCAGTTTTGATTGGAGGAGCTCATGGTGAGCCGAGGAAGGCAGCAAAGGCCTCCTGAAAGAGGGGGGCCTGGAGTTGACCTGCAGGGATGGGTGAGGTTGGAGGGTAGGGCGAAGCATAAAGCTACTGTGTCCAATGTCTCAGGAATCAGACTGCCTGGCTTTACCCCTGGAAACACTGACTCTGTTGGTGATCAAATGTATTAACTTCTTTATGCCTCAGTTTTCTCAGCTGGAAAATGGGGCCGATAATAGTATCTACTTCATGGGGCTGTCGTAAGGATCAAATGAACATTTCAGGTGCTTAGAACTGTGGCTGGCCTCTAGTAGGACCTAAATAAATGTTAGCCTTTATTATTGCCAACTCCTGACCTGTGCCCAGCATATTACACAGCATAGCCACATATGTAATCTCATTTGGTCTTCTCAGTAAGGTTTTAGATATATACCCATTTTATTGACTAGTAAATTGAGGCCAAGGGAGGCTAATAGATTTGCATAGGCGCCACACAGCCAGGAAGTGTATTCAACACCAGAACACTTATCTCTGACTGCTGGGCCTGGGCTGCCCTCCACACCAGCTACCCCAGAAGAGGATAACCTAACAGTTGCTGCAGGACAGAGGGCCTCTCTGAACTTCAGTTTCCTCTTTTAGGATTGTGGTGAGGATTAAAAGAATTCATGTAAAACACTTTGCACAGTGCCTGTTCCATAGCATGACATATGACAGCTGTCAAAGTCACCTGCCCCTATGCCACCCCCAACTCCTGAGAAAAGGTAAGCACAAGGTCCACTTCCAGCCCCCATGTAGATGTGACCTGTGCATAGTGGGTGATGCCGTCTAGAGGAATGAGGTTAGCTGGCCCCACACTCCTATCCCATCCCAAAGGAAGTTTTTCTGCTTTTCTCTCCAATGCTTCCCTTTTGCTCAGTCCCCTCCATGGTGTTGCTGGCCATTGGGAATCCCATCCTGAGGCTCCCAGGCCCTGTTCCTCCCTTTGCCCCCCACCCAGGAGTGAACAGCAAGTTTGCATACAGCCTTGAGAAACTGCCTTAACCCTTTCGTACTGTACTCACTCGCCAGCTTGTACAGGAGGGGAAAAGATTAAGGGAAAACAACCCAACGCACTCAGAACCAAACTAGGGAGAGCTGGGTAGGCATGAGGATTCCCAGCCCACCCCCACAACCCTGAATCAAAGGGGTCCTCCAGGAGGAGGGGGCATCAGAGAGGAGCAGTGACGAATGTTGCCTGCCTTAGGACAGGGCCCCTGAAAGCAGAGCCTGAGACAGGATTCGTATGCAGGTAACTGGAGGGCTGCCCTCAGCTGAACATCCTAAGGCAGTGACAGAAGAAGCAGGACAGGGCATGGGAGGACGCTGAGGACGGGTGGCACCACAGAGCTGTCCCATCTTAGGGGACAACTGTTATACGCCCCCATGTCAGTCATCTACTGTCTGTGGGCCTCCTCCCCCAAAGGGTGTGGAGTGTGGCAAGATGGCTCCCAAGGGCTGAGGGCGTGACTCTGGAGAAGGGGCAGCTGTGAGTCCTTAGCTGCCAGTACCCACAGCAGTGAGGGGCGGGGGGTGGGAGCATCAGCTGCTAAGGGGCTTGGGACAGGGCCCCTACAGATCTACCATATTACCCAACACCAGCTCCAGTCTGTTTCTACCTTCCTGCCTTTGGGGAGGGTGGCTGCGGTCACCTGTTGATACCCCCAGGTTCAGCCCCTGCAGCAGTGACTCAGCAGAATCTCTGAGAGTTCAAACACACCGAGCTAATCCAGCCGCCTTCACTCTTACCACCCCAGGGAGGGTTAGCAGCCAGCCTTGGGAACAGCTCTGCCAGCTCTTTGCCTTACCTGGAATTTCAAGAAAAAACCCAAGGGGAGGAAGCAGAGAGAACCTGTTCTTTATCTCCAGAGGAGTCTTAATTTTAGCTTTGGAGATGCTGGGATATGATGTGTATTTCTCCCGCCCGGGTCTGGGGTCTGCGGGATGTGTTTGGAGCGTTAGGCCCGCTGTGTTGCTTTGGCCCCGCTGGCCATAGGCTCATGGCTTGGGGGTGCATAGAAGTTTGACTGGCTGGTTGAAGTGACAAAGAAAGCAGAGAAATTGAGAGAAGAAAGGGAATCCAGGCTCACGTGGTTACATGCTTGCTCATCTGCCAGTCAAATCCTGGCAGAAAATTCCACACATGAGTCGTAAGTCTTAGGATCTAGGACACAGGCTATGTCTGGGTGGTGTATGGCCGGGGTTCAGGGTCAGTCTGTGGGTTTGAAGAGTGGTAAGCCCGGTGGCTCCTGTGGCCAAATGCAGAGGCTCCATCCCAGGAGAAGCTCACCCCAGACATGCCCGCTGGCTCGTCGGGGCGGTTAGAATGTTCTGCAGTACTGCTGGAGTGGGACTTAGGGAGTGGACGGCTCTGAGTGGGCCAAGAGGGTGATAGAGGGGGTGCCAGTACATATCAGTCAACTACTGTATAAAGCTTTATAGGGGCACTGCCCTTAATGAGGGCCTCCCAGTGTTGTCATCAGTGCCGGTACCTGCTTTCTGGGCCCTGGAGGTGAAGTACCACTGTGCCCAGGCCACCAGCGTTTGTGAGGGGTGAGGAAAAGTTAAGGGCCCCATGTGGGGCAGGCGGTTCTCCAGCAAGGCATGCTGGGAAAGAAAAACAACCCAAGTGGTTTCTTGGGCAGGACTTTCTATTCTGGGGCTAGAGACATAATGGGTGCTTTGCCAAGACTTGCTGATTGATCACAAATTGGCCATTCTCCCTTATATATAGATGCCTTTTATTGAGCTCCTACTATGTGCCTTGCTTTGTTTGGGGCACTCCAGAAACCTCTCTCCAGTTTTCACTGCAGGGTAGGTGGTGTTTTCCTGATTTTAGAGAAAAGTCCAATCATTTTCCATCACCACGGCCGAGCTGGGCTCCTTCCTACCGAGCCCTGGGCTTTTCTCTTGGGCAAGGAGAAACGGCCACAGCCAGCCTCAGCGAGACTGTCTCTGCCCCTCCTCTCTCGCCCCCGCATCTCCCAGGTTAGGGACCTGGGGGCTATTGCTGGTGGTCCCTCTGGCTGCCACTGCTATCTCGTGCTTCAGGAGTGCACCGTGTGGGGCAGCGAGGTGACCTGAGTCTCATGGGGACTTGGTGACCTGCAAGGGCTCTCTCATTCCATTGAGTGGCTGAGGTCATTGGCATTAAGTAATTGATTTTTCTGTGTGTGTGCAATTAAACCACTTAGTTAATTATTATTTTAATATGGTTACAAACAGGATAGCCCCAAGGCTCTCAAAGCAGTGTCTTCACTTAATTATAAATCTAACAAGATTTGGCTATTCGTTTTTCTAAGTCATAGCATTGTTTTAAACTTTTTGTTTTGAAATCATTATAGACTCACAGACGTTGCAGAAATCCTAGGCACTTTACATTCCTCCCCTCCAGTCCCACCACCGTACTGCAGGGCAGGTGACATCATTCCCAATTTAGGGAGAGACCAGATCACTTCCACCACCACATAGCCATTGAGTGGTGAACCCACTGCCCAGTTCACCCCACTGGCAGCATCTTATATAACTATAGTATATTATGAGACCCAGGAAATTGATACTGGCACGACTCAATTCACTACAGACCCTAGTAATTGATTTTTATTATAAGGAGGTGGAGGG